CATTAAAGAGGTATGTGCCACATATGCGATGCCGAATCGACGCCTATATTCGGCACAACCTGGCAAACCGAAGCTGCATCTCTAACCTGGGCAGCGCTGCGGCTGCGGCTGCTGCTGGGGCCAACCAGTCTTGCATACGTTTTCACACCGTAGCAGCTTACCCTGTCGCCGGAGTCTACGGGGCGCATTGACTGCTCATAGCGCTGGCAAAGACCGTGGATAGCTCTCCTGCTACGGCAGAGCGATGTATAACCGGTCACTGCCGTCTTCTATATTGCTAGAAAGACTGCAGTGGCCCACAGCCGGCGTCACGTAGAATGTTGTCGTGCGTAACATCCATGGGCCTCACAAAGGACACATCCAGGACGTCGCCGAGGCGCTGTACACTGGAACACGTGGTCGTGGAACGCCACCTCGATCGCCGCCTCACTACAAGGCGGTGAGTCGCTTGTGTTGGTCGACGGAGTCGTCTTGCTCGTCGTCGGATGGATTTACTGCAGTCGCGTGATCCGATCTTGAAGCTCATCTCCAAGCTGGTGGATTTGGCGGTCCAACGACCAGCACTCTTTTAAATCTCGTCTGCGTAAAATCACCTTGGCGTTTGTATTCAAACGAGCAACATATAATTCCAAGAACATCAACCGTCATTCCCTCTTTGCCAGCTGGTCGCCGAAGCCAGCGCAATCACCAAGTCCGAGCGCATGACCATGGACCTGGACCCTTGTCCCGTCGCGAGCACGTCGACGCCCGCGCGCGACGACGCCCAGACAAGTGCATGGACCCAGCTGCGCACAGCGCCGACCACAACGCCAGCTCCGAGGTACCGCGGCCTGCGCAACACGGGCGCGACTTGCTACCTCGACAACCTGTTCCAGACGCTGTACATGACGCCCGCGTTCCGCACGCGACTGTACCAGTCGACATCCGCATCCAACGACAGCAGCCTTCTGCGGGAACTCCAGCTCCTCTTTGCGCGGCTCCAGCTTTGAGTCGACTGCAAGGCCATCGACACGACCGCTCTGGCGCAGAGCTTTGGCTGGACGACAAGTGACGTTCTGCAGCAGCACGACGCGCACGAGCTCTATCACGTCCTCTTGCATGCCATTGACGTCTCTGTCCAAGGCATGCCCGACTTGCACTTCATCCACGACCTCTACCAAGGTCGAAAACCTCTACCTCTGTTGTGCACGAGGCTCATGCACGATGACCAGGTACGCTCAAAGACTCTGTGCGATGCGCTACGTGCGGCTATACGCGCAGCCACCTCGACACCTTTCTCGACCTTTCACTCGGAGTCCCATCGACGCCAACAAGCGTCGAAGAGGCCATCACGAGCTTCCTCGCACCCGAGCGCCTCGTCAGCGACAACCAATGGCTCTGCGACGTCTGCGGCACCAAGCAAGACGCCATCAAAAGTCTGTCGCTCGTGCAAATCCCGAGCAATGTTTCGTTTCCCAGGGACCTCGACATGAACGCGCCTCATTCCTCGATGGTCAGCAGTCGGGAGACGTCGCCTTCCACCAAGAGCACGCAAGGTGCAGCGACCAGCGTTACGTGGCACGCATCCTTTGACGTGGCCCCTATAAGAGCTCAGGGTCCGCTCGTCTACGAGCTCGCGTCAGTGCTCGTGCACGCTGGCTCTGCGAACGGCGGTCACTACGTCGCGTACATCCAGTCGTCACTGGACGACGATCGTCACTGGCTCTGCTTCAACGACGCCTCTGTCTCGACCGTCTCCGAGGCCGACGTCTGTGCTGCGTACGGTCTCGCGTCGGCCAACGGTGGCTACTACGAGTCGTCGCGCGCGCCGTGTGCCTACCTGCTGCAGTACCGCCAGGTCGAAAACGTCTTTCACAAATCTCAATGTCCTCCCGGTGACGACACGATACCCTCTTGGCTTGCGGACGTTGTGCACGCCGAAGTCCATCACAAGCACGCAATCCAG